CAAAATTATTTTATTTTCCCTAGATTTTGATCACGTGATTTTATCTTTTTTTATTCATTGGACAGAATATGAAAAAAAAATGACATTAGTTTTTAATGAATATATATATATATATATATATTCATTATATATATATATATAAATTTCGTTTTCATTCATTTGTTTAAAATAAATTATTATGCATAAATTATGAATGTTAAAATGTGTCAATTTTAAATATGTGAAAGTATGCAAATAAAATACATATATAAATGATTTAATTCAAAATAGTAGTTATGAAAAATTCGGTTAATTTTCTTCAGTCAATACTTACAAATTCCAAAAAAGTAACATTTATAATAAATAATAATACTTTAAAACAATTATGTCGAAAAATCTTAAAATTATATAAACAAAAATTCGATGTGAATAAAATTGATGGAACAGATGAAGGTGCCAATATTTTTACATATATTATGTAAAAATATAAAAAGTTATATATATATTTTGCACATATTTAATATATATATACATACATGAAAAGAAATCCCGCGGAAAAAATATAGATTTGATTGGTCAAAGTGTGAGAAAAGTAACAATTCTCATATACATTTTTTAGCACACTATTTTTTATTTGTCTATATGGATATGCATATTAATATAATAATCCAATTGTCAAAGATAAGCAATAAAATCTATTGAAAGATGACATGCATCTTAATCTCATATAATTTAATAAGTGAAATTTATTGTCTTATTTATACAATAGAATCTTTTTATTTAAAATTTTGAATTATTCAAAGAAAATCTCTTATTATATAGTATGTGATACTGGGGAGATAAAAAAGGGATTCTCCAAAAGCATCAAAGACATAAACTGCCTTAACGAAAGACTTCTTGGCTTTTTTACCATTTTGCGAGATTTCTTTCGAGCAATGAAATATATATATATATATATATATGTTAATGTTAGTATGTTAGTCGTATATATATATATACATAATTCCAAAAATGTTGGAACATATATAAATTGGAGATTTCCAAAGTAAATTTTCCAAGAAATATTTTCTTTTGCAAAAACTTTTGTTATGGCTTTTAACGAATTATTAACAAAAAATATTGGCCAATCACGGAGCGTGTAGCTAATTGAGTTGCAAT